GGAGAGGGTGTGGAGTCTTCGAAATGGCCCCCCCACACAGGAGACTATCTGAGGGGTCAGAGCTTCGTTCTTCATTTTATTTCTCTCCTTCTGCTGCTCCTACTCTGTTCTCCTCTCTATTCTGTTCCTCTACCCTGTTGTTTTCCTTCAACTTCTTCCCAGATGTTTTCCTTTTTCATCTTTATCTTTTTCCTTACACCTTTTAAACCCCAGCAAATTCTCTCAAGCTGTATAAACATTACAACGAAGTTATATTCTTTTTCTTCAAGTGAATGATTACAATGAATACAAGTAAAATACAGCGGTGTTCCCCATTACCTTTACATAGTTAAACATTTTATGTATTACAGGTGAAAAACAAAGTATTCCAAAGTTTCCACATACATTCACATCTAAGCAACTTGTTATGGAACAATAAAGTGTAAGCAAGCAACATATTTTTTTTAGCCAGGTCTTTTATTGGAAGGCTGAATTTCAAGTTACAAAGAAAAGATCAATTATTTTATTATTTATCTCAAATGGTAATCTTATTAAAGAATCTTAGAATCAGAAATCTAAACTTTCACATGTAAAAAAGACATCAGTCATTTCTATTTTAAGTATTCAGAGTGCACACCCACTCAGCAACAATTTTTTATTAAGTCATATCAGGAATCTGAGGGCAAAAATAGGCATAAGAAACTAACCATTGCCTTTATCACCAACTTATCTTTAGCAAGAAAGGTACATCAGCCAACAATAACCAGGCTGCCATTGTTCTTGTTTCCTGACCTCAATAAGTCCCTTGCTCAACTATCAAAAGTGTACCTTTCTAAACTTTAAATTGTTCCCCAAGATTTTCTACATCAAAGCCATTAACAAAAATATCTCAATCTAACTTTGCTGGCAATCTACTTTTCTTAATTCTTTTTTAGGGATGGTGGTTGATTCATTAGTCTTGTGAAAGCACGGTCTGAACCTGTAAAATAAATTTAATTAGTCAATAAAATGCTTTTGGCCATGGCTTACTGGAACAGACATAGAAACATTTAGGGAATGGCTGAGAAAACAGGCAAGACCACACATCATATGAGAAGAGTTGTTAAATTTCCCAAGAGTAATAATGGTATTGCTTTGGTGTGCAATGGCAACTTCAGATGATATATACAGAAATATTGCCTGAAGTGTTATGAATTAAAGTATCTCTCAAATGCCATATCAAGTAACATGTGTATTGTGGAAGTTTCTGTCCCGCCTGGTCCTGCATCTGTTCAGTCCTAAATAAATACACACAAGCTTATATCACTTATAAATTGTTTGGCCTATTGCTCAGGCTTATTGCTAACAAATTCTTACAACTTAAATTAACCCATAGGTCTTACATATCTTTAGCCACATGACTTGATACCTTTTCTCAGTAAGGCGTTCTCATCTTCCTTCCTCTGTGTCTGGCTGGTGACTGTGTCTCTGCCTTTCTTCTTCCCAGAATTCTCCTAGTCTGGTTACCCTGCCTATACTTCCTGCCTGGCTACTGGCCAATCCACATTTTATTAAACCAACACGAGTGACAAATGTTTACAGTGTACAAGAGCATTATCCCACATCGTTTCTCCCTTTTTTTCTTTTCAAAACAAGAACCCTGAATCTAATCTCCTTTGTTTCACTTTTTTTCCTAGCCATTATCCATAGCAACTTGTAACCAACATGCTAAACAAAGAGAAACATCCATAATCCATTTTTTGGAAATGTGGGTGTAGTTTTCTAAGCTACTTCTTGGTGATTGGGGGTGCTGGTAATCTTTGGGCATCCAAAGAAAATTTAGGATTATGGTCAAGTCCTGCCTGGAGTATTGGGTCATCTCAGCCAGCAGCCTTGAAGCTGTTCTGGATGCAGAACTCAAAAAAAAAACTGCAACAAAGGCACTCTGAAATGTTGGATCATCTGGGCCATTCATTCTCTTTGGAGATTTTTCAGGGGTTCTTCCTTGATCAAACCTTATTTTCCTTAACCAAGAATGAATCCATAGCCTCTCATTTCCTGTGGAAACAAAACCAAAACCACTTTTCCAAAGTAACATATATTTTTACTTAAATTTTGAAGTCAAGGCATTTTCAAAATATACAGATTGGATTAATCCAGGAGCATTTATCTCAAACGTCTTTTAGGAGCTGTAGCTCCTTTCTAAGGAGTCAAACAATTCAAAGACAACACAATAACATACAGTATCCAGACGCTCTGTGTATTTTCCTTCTTTATGTTGCTTTTTTATTACTCTCTTTTTATTTTTTATTTCTTGGTTTTTTGAAACATGGTTTCTCTGTGTATCTTTGGCTGTCCCAGAACTCACTTTGTATAACAGGCTGGCCTTGAAATCAGAGATCCGCCTGCCTCTGCCTCCCAAGTACTGGGATTAAAGCATGAGCCACCATACCAACTACTCTATTTCTTTTTTAAGGGCTTTCTCTATCCTTTCTCTTTTGTCTCCAAAGCCTATGTATATTTTTAAACACACTGTAAACTCTTTAGAGGTTTTTTTTGTTCCATCTGAATCAGTCTTTACTGTATATCTCTATCATTTTCTGTCTAGATGAGATTTTATTTTGCTTTTTTAGACTTTTATTAATTTATTTTTTACATTTCAATCCCAGTTCCACCTCTCTCCTCTCCTCCCACTCCCTCCACTGTCCTCCTCCTCCCATCTGCTCCATGGAGAGAGTAAGGCCTTCCCTAGGAAGTCTACTAAGTCTGTCCCATCATCTAGTTGAGGCAAGACCAAGGTACCTCCCTTGTGTCTAGGTTGGGCAAGGTATCTCTCCATATAGAATGGGCTCCACTAAGTCAGTTTGTGCATTAGTGTTAGATCTTAGAACCACTGCTATTGTTCTCATATATTGTCCCAGTCACACCATTGTCACCTATATTAAGGGAGTCTAGTTCAATCTTATGCAGGTTCCCCATTTGTCAGAGCTGAGTCAGTGATCTCTCACTAGCTCGGGTTAGCTGATCCTGTGGGATTTTCCATCATGGTCTTAACTTCTTTGTTCATATTATTGCTTCTCTATCACTTCAATTGTACTCCTGGAGCTTGGCCCATTGGTTGCTTGTTTCTGCATCTGCTTCTATCTGTTTCTGGAAGAGGTTCAAGCTTCTCTGGGGTTATGGATTGTAGACTGGGTACCTTTTGCTTTATGTCTGGTATCCACTTATGAGTGAATACATACTATATTTGTCTTTCTGGTTTTGGGTCACACCTCATGATGTTTTTTGTTTGTTTGGTTGGTTTGGTTTGGTTTTGGTTTTTTGAGACAGGGTTTCTCTATATTGTTTTGGAGGCTGTCCTGAAACTTGATCTGTAGATCAGGCTAGCCTCAAATTCACAGAGATTCACCTGCCTCTGATTTCCAAGTGCTAGGATTAAAGGCCTGCGCCACCACTGCCTGGCTCGATGTTTTTTTCTAGTTCTGTCCATTTGCCTGTGAATTTTAGGATGTCATTGTTTCTTACCCCTGAGCAGTACTCCATTGTGTAAATATTCCACATTTTTTAAATCCATTCTTCAGTTGACGGGTATCTAGGCTTTTTCCAAGATCTGGCTATTACAAATAAAGTTGCTCTGAGCATAGCTGAGCAAATGTCCTTGTGGTGTGAATGTGCCCTCTTCAGGTATATGCCCAACAGTGGTATTGAAGGGTCTTGAGGTAAGTAGATCCCTAATTTTCTGAGAAACCACCATATTGATTTCCGTAGTGGCTGTACAAGTTTGCACTCCCACTAGCAATGGAGGCGTGTTCCCCTTTCTCTACATCCTCTCCAGCATAAGCTGTCATTGGTGGGGTTTTTTTGTTTTTTTTTGTTTGTTTGTTTGTTTGTTTTGGTTTTTCGAGACAGGGTTTCTCTGTATTGCTTTGGAGGCTGTCCATCCAGCCTGGCCTCGAACTCACAGAGATCCGCCTGCCTCTGCCTCCCGAGTGCTGGGATTAAAGGTGTGCGCCACCACTGCCCGGCTTTGTTTTTATTTTTTATTTTTAGGTGTTTTTTATTTTAGCCATTCTGATTAGTGTAAGATGGAATCTCAGAATTGTTTTGAATTGCATTTCTCTGATGACTAAGGATGTTGTCTAGTTCTTAAGTGTCTTTCTGTCATTTAAGATTGTTCTGTTGAGAATTCTCTATTTAGATCTGTATCCCATTTCTTAATTAGGTTATTTGGTAGTTTGATTTCTGGTTTCTTGAGTTCGTTGTATATTTTGGAGATCAGTCCTCTGTCAGATGAGGGGTTGATGAAGATCTTTCCCCATTCTGTAGGCTGCTGTTTTGTCTTGTTGACTGTGTTCTTTGGATTACAGAAGCTTCTCAGTTTCAGGAGGCCCTATTTACTAATTGTTGCTCTCAGAGTCTGTGCTACTGGTGTTCTATTTAGGAAGTGGTCTCCTGTGCCTATGTGTTCCAATGTATTTCCCACTTTCTCTTCTATGAGGTTCAGTGTGGATGAATTTAAATTGAGGTCTTTGATGACCACATGAGTCTTTAATCTGATAAATGGCATGGCTAGGACAAAGCAGCAGCTGTCTCCACCCCATTCCTTGGTTAGCTGAGAGTCTAGCTTCATGGCCAAGGTACTGGTGGCAGTCATGTTTATGCCACAACTCTGCAGAGTTTCTAGGTTTGTGTCACCAACAAGAAGCATGCTGCCAACTACTCATAAACACCATTTAAGTATCTGGCAGCAGGGCCTTTTAAAGGAGCCATGAGTTTTTGCTATTAATGCTGAATCAGGAAGCCTCTCTTTGAGAAGCTGTGCCTCTGCTTGCCTCTAGCAAACAGAGCCCATTCGATAAAATTCTGCTACCAAGAAGGCAGACTTGATCCTGTTCTTTTGTGTCCAGAATCCCTTTTCATGTTTTTGTCAGGTTTTATGTTGGAATTCTTGCCAAATGTTTGAGCATAACATGTAGACAGAAGTTTCTGTCCCACCCAGTCCCAAAGCTGTTCAGTACCAAATAAACATACAGAGGCTTATATTAATTATAAACTGTTTGGCCTATTGCTCAGGCTTATTACTGAAAAACTCTTACAGCTTACATTAACCCATAATTCTTATCTATGTTTAGCCAAATGGTGTGGTACTTTTTCTCAGTGAGACATTCTCATCTTGCTTCCTCTATGTCTAGCTGGCAACTGCATCTCTGCCTTTCCTCTTCCTGGAATTGTCATAGTCTGGTCACCCCACCTATACTTCCTGCCTAGCTACTAGCCAATCAGTTTTTTATTAAACCAATACAGTGACAAATCTTTACAGTTACAAGAGCATTATCCCATATCACATGTATGTATATATGCATACGCACACATATATATATATCAAATTATCAAAATGTCAACAGCCATTAATATAGACAGTAGCTATATGAGTATCGATGACACCATCCAGTCAACTTCTGTTTCAAAATATTCATAATAAACAGTTGAAAGGCTTCCATGGGACATGTGGGTCTCCTCAGCGTCCATCTACAGGGCAGAGGCTATCCCTAATGTGGCATGCATCAAGGTGAGACACCAAGAATCACTGGGGGTGCCATTAGAAGGTTGCTATCATCTTCTCAAAATTTCTGTTGATGAAGGTCATCCAGTCTAGGATTAGCCACTCCTTAGAGACCCTCATCAGCCTCACAGCACCCACAGTACCCCACACACTAGCCATGAAGACCAAGTTCCTGAATGGTTCCTGGTAATACAGGTATTGGGAGACATGAAATTGATGATGGAAAGGTACGAACTGCCAAATGAAATGTGAGTAAGCACTGAGGATCAAAGTGGCAGTACATAACAATGTCACCCTGTCTGTCTGAATGTGCTTAAGAAGATCTTAAATGTTCTAACATCACATACACACAAAACAGGCAACTATGAAAGATAATAGAGGGTGTTGTTAACCTAATTGTGATAGCCATTGCCCAGTGCAGTTCCACAAGTCAGTGTAATATTAATATTTGTGATTTGTCAATTAGACATCAATAAATCCAATAACAGAGGAAAAAAGACAGAGAAATGGGTAGAGGGACCACACCATACAATTCTATCATCAATTAAGGCTTCAGGAATCTAAGAATGGGCAGAGAAGCTGGTGTGCTTCCACATATGCACAAAGGGATCCTGTATAGTCTCTGGTACATGGGAAGTTCTCGTTATATAAAGAGAGTAAGGATGAATAAATAAATGTGTATGAGGACCCATATTATAGGTATAACTGTGGGATGCCTACCTAAAATTTTGTGGACATCTCTTCTACAAAAAGAACTTGGTGTCTGTGTAATGGTGGATAAAAATGCAATCATGTGTCCATGGGGAATACATTTTCATAAGTATATTTTCTTCATCTGACAAACAGACTTCTGTTTACTACTGCAAAGGATGTCATTCCAGCCCCAACTAGAACGTCGATGATTTATTGCAACACATTGTTCTTGGTTGTCGTTGGGCTCACCTGGGTGCCAGAACCTGAAAGGGAGGAAAGAGTATCAGGGTGTTTCCTACAGCAATGCTGGGAAAGAAAAAGCAAGAGTAAGCAAGCCTGGGGATGAGGCTGGAATTTGTGGAAATCAGATCAAGTGTGTACAAACCAGCCATTCTCCACCACCCGTGTCTGACATTTCCCTGAAAACAGGGCCCACCGCATTCAGTGTCCTCTTAGCTTGTCCTTAACTGTTTTCCCACACACATCCCAGAGGCTACTTCACCCCAGGTCTTGGTACCTGGGGACTGCCATTCCATGGTGCTTATTTACATGCTGAAAAGGTCTTTTCATTTTTACAACAGTCTTATTTTAGAGACTGGAGAACTAGTTAAAATATCTAGTTAATCTACTTATTTCTGCCATCTAGGACAAGTAATTTAATATCCTGGATTTCTACTTTTCTTCTCTGAAAACTGAAAATTACAACACCATCACTATTTATTTTTCACAACAAAAATCAGGGTAGAATATGGGAAAATACTAAGATATTAGGGTTTTTAAATAATTACATAAACACAAAACACAACAATTTCAGATTGTGGACTTTGATTTATGAGAAATAATCAGTTATTATCTTGACATTAATTGTTGTTATAAAGATATAAATGAGTCTCTGCATCTGCTTCCATCAGTTGCTGGATGAAGGTTCTATGATGACAATTAAGGTAGTCATCAATCTGATTACAGGGGAAGGCCAGTTCAGGTACCCTCTACACTATTGTTTAGGGGATTAGCTGGGGTCATCCTTGTGGATTCCTGGAAATTTCCCTCGTGCCAGTTTCTTGATAGCCCCATAATGGCTCCCTCAACCAAGATATCTCTTTCCTTGCTCTCCCTCTCTGTCCTTCCCCCATCTCAATCATCCCATTCCTTCATGTTTTCCTCCCCTCCTCTTCTCCCCTCCTCCCCTTCTGTCTTCCCTTCTCCCCCAATTCATACTCTCAAATTTCTCAAGAGATCTTGTCTATTTCCCCTTTCCAGGGGATCCATATATGTCTCTCTTAGGGTTCTCCTCGTTACCTAGCTTCTCTGGGGTCATATACTATAGGCTGGTTATCCTTTGCATTACATCTAATATCCACTTATGAGTGAGCACATACTGTGTTACTCTTTCTGGGTCTATGTTACCTCTCTCAGGATGATTTTTCTAGTTCCATCCATTTGCCTGCAAATCTGGGTAGAGCTCCCAGAGTCCAGTTGAAGAGAGGGGAAGTTACAATACAAGCAAAGCAGTCAAGACGATGATGGAGATACCCACAGAAACAGCTGACCTGAGCAAATGGGAGCTCAGTGACTCTGAAATGGCAGTGTGGGAACCTGCATAGGACCCAATTAGGCCTTCTGAATGTGAGTGACAGTTGTGGGGCTTGGGCAGTCTGTGGAGCAACTGCCAGTGGAAACAAGATATATTCCTAATACTTGAACTGGCTTTTTGGAGCACATTCTCTTTGGAGGGATACCTTACTCAGCCTAGATATAGAGGAAGGGCCTTGGTCCTGCCTCAAAATGTTGTGCCAGAGACTTTGTTGACTGGAAGTCTTACCTTCTCTGAGGAGTGGATTGGGGGGGGAGGTGGGGGAGAGCAGGAGGAAAAGGGAGTGGCAACTGATATTGGTATGCAAAATGAGAAAAGATTGTTTTTAAAAAAATAAATAGAAAGAAAGAAGATATAAATTAAACCTGGAGATATGGCTCAGAAATTAAGAGTGCTTGCTGCTTTTCCAGAAAACATGAGAATTACCTTCACCCGTATTGGCATGGTCATACCACATTGTGACCCCAGATCCAGGGGATCCAACACCTTTTATGGGCCCCATGGGCACCCATATATACATGGCACACACACACAGAGACACATACATACACACAAATAAACATAGATCCCAGTTTTTAAAATGTAGATGAGTGACTGGAAGCATAACAAAACCCACCTGGGTGTAAGCGCCTAGATTGTGTACCCAGGGTACATATTATTCTACACTCTTCAAACTCAATTTCCTCATCTCTAATAGGAATATCAGTAACACCTGTCTCACAGGACTCCTGTGATGAGTATATGGGAATAAAAGTAACTCCATCCCAAGCAGCCACAACAGGAGTGAGCTGTTTTAGTTTCATAACCAACAGCTGGAACACCCTAAAGTCTTCTCATGCCACAGGGCCCAGGACTCCTCTAGGTACTCTAGACTCACGTGGCACTTTCATTGTATGGTGTCTGATCAGCCCATCGCCACTGTCGATGACCTGGATCCGAGAGCCCGATAAAATAAGCAACTTTAACTTCCAGGATCTTGGTGATGAAACCCTAGAGGAAAGAAAGATAAAGCATTCATCCTGGATGGAGGGCTGCTTTTTCTGTTATACAAGTTTTATAACCTCTTTTAAAAATTATTTTAACTCCACAAAATTATAGGTTCAATGTGATGCACATATGCAAATATATAATAATCAAACCTAGTTCATCTCTCTAGGCCCTTAAATGTTTTTCAAATTTTAGATTAATAAACAATAATTACACATTTTAGACTGTGATACTTTTTCTGGTGACACAGGATGAGAAGACAGAGAAAGACTAAAGGACTAGAAGATCCACCCCCACCCCCAGGAGGGCCAACTTCTCCATCTGTCCAGGACACAAAGTCATCACTCATAGACTGATTTCCATGTCACTGGAAACAATCTCTGTCCATGATCATAATGAATTCTCATCTCAGACTCACTCCCCTCTTTTCTTCCCCAAGACCATTCTTGAAAGTTGTGCATGACAGAATTTTACAGATTAATCATTTTCTCCCTTCATAACTTCAGATATTTCATTGCTGATGGCTGGCTGTGACTCTCCTGATTCCATCCCATTTCCCTGGTCAGCTCTGCGCCCTCCTCTGTTGAGCAGGAGGCATTAGAGTTCTGGAATCACACACTGGTCTTTCAGGCAGAAACAGTTCATCCTTCCCTCCACCCTCAGGCCTTGCATTTCTGTCGCCATGGTTCCTAGTGGGTTGTTCAGCTCCACTGAAGCAGGAGCAAGGTGTAGAATGCCAAGGCTGAAGCAACCCTTCTGCTATCTGATGGAAAGCGTTCTGCCACATCACCTACACCCGTGCCCACAAAACTCCCTCGCAGTAAAAAGAGGCAGACACCAGGCAGGCCCCAGGCCCCACTCTCTCCCACAATGCACCTGCTCTTCCTTGCTGTGGACCACCATCAGACGAGCGCCCATGCTGGAGCACTTCTCCTCACTCTGGCTCCAAGTTGCCAAGTCAGTGGAAACAAAGTAGCAGTGGGAACTAAATGCCTTCCAGTCCTTTGGGCAACAGCTCCAGACTTTGTCTATGGGGAGGAAGGAGATATAAGGGCAATGTAATAAAGTCATTTAAAAGTTGCTGTGTGCAGAGACTACGTGGGAGTTGGGACTGCCTACTTCTCCAGATTCAACAAGGAGTCCCTCCTCTCAGGTGCCAAGAAACTACAGTCTACCTCTGTGGATACTAACATCAGGGCCCCTTTGTCCTACTGGGTACTGTCAGGAAAGCAGTATAAAGGGCACTCAGACATCGAGGACATATTGCCAAACAGTCTGGGTCTCTAAAGAATAGAACTCATCATACCAAGAACCAGAAAGTTTGCGTATTGCATAAATACACACATATTTATACATGAAACAGCAGATGTAATTAACCAAGGCAGTAAAATTTCAGAGTTAGCAGACAGATATTTTTCACTAGTGGTGATAAAAGTGGTAGTCAATATATTACAATAAACAACATAGCTAAAGTATTGGTTTCAAAACTATGTAAACCATCAATGAATAAAAAGGAGCTGAATGTGGAAAAAAACAATGGAATCCTGAGATTTGCAGGCAAATGGATGACACTAGAAGAAACCATCCTGAGTGAGGTAACACAGTCACAAAAAGAGAAACATGGCATGTACTCTCTCATATATGGATTTTAGACATAGATCTGGGGAGTGCCAGCCTACAATCCCATGGCCAGAGAGTCTGGGAAACAGAACCTTCATTCAATGGCTGATGGAAGAAGAGGCAGACTCCCACAGCTAAACACTGAGCTGAAGTCATGGAACCCAGTGACAGTGAGGGAGGACTGATGACCAAAGGGATTAAGACTGGGCTGGTTTAACCCCCAGAAACAGCTGACCTGACAAAGGTTAACTCTAGAATCCCATGCTGATGCCTGGGAATCCAGCATAGGACTAATCAAGACCCGTTGGATGGGGGTGTCAGTGAGGAGGACTAGGTAATCTATTGAGCCTTGGGCAGTAGATCAGTATTCATCCCAAGTATACACATGGACTTTGGACTCTCATCCAACAATGTGAGATGCACTCTCACCCTGAACTCTTGGGGGAGGGTCTAGGCCCTGCCCTGGATGAAATGACAGACTATGGACACCCCCATGGAGGCTTCACCCTCCCTGGGGAAATGAGGGGATAATGAGGGGTTTGGGGGGAGAAGGGAAGGGAAAGGGAGAGGGACCTGGAACTGACTTGTGAAGCAACCTTGTTTCTAATCTAAATTTAAACTTAAAAATAAATATATATATATAAATTAAAAAAGGAGCTGAATGGAAATTTTGTCTGAAAATCATATTTTAAGTTTTCCAGGGAGTTACATTTAATCCTGAAAGCAAGAGAGATATCAGCGAATTCTCAAGGGATGGAAAACTGAAATGTAGCAGAAAAATAAAGTCTCATATAAAGACCCTGAATGCCTACAGAGGAATGCAATCCCCACAAAAAAAGTCAAGATTTTTCATAAGATAAATAGGCAAAACAATCTCGAAAGTCGTACAGAAGCACAGAAGTCCTTGGATAGCCAAAGCCACCCTGAAGGAAAAGGATAATGTTGAAGGTGCCACCATGCCTGACTTCAGGCTACACTATAGGGCACGTCACCAGCACAAAAGGAGACACATTGATCAATAAACACAAAAGAGAACCACAAACGTAAACCCACACAGCTACAGCCACCTGACTTTCACCAAAAATACACAGTGGAGGAAGATAGGCTCTTCAACAAATTGTATTGGGAAAACTAGTTACCAGTATGCAAAAGAATGAAGCTAAATTCACAGTCATTCTGTATAAAAATTGACTCTAAAATAGAGTCTAAATGGACTAAACGCCTTGCTATGAGGCTTGGAACCCTGAAATTGTTAGAGAAAGAAATAGAGAAACATTTCAAGATGTAGGCATACGCAAAGACTCCCTGAATAGGACTGCAGACTTCTTTACAGCAAAGGACACGCTGAATGAAGAGACAGAGACATCTGCTGAGAAGGGCAGGAACCCTAGACAAGCTCAAACAGTCTTCTCCAAAGGCTCTCTTGTCACAGACAATAAACAAACTGTGCTTATTGAGGGCCAAATGGTGTATTCCAAAGACATCTCCTTAAAGATATCAAACAGTAGAGACACTTCACTTACTTGGGGCCCAAGTTGGTAATAGCCTTAAGCACTTGCTTCTCTTTCCTAAACCTAAGCAATACACCTTCACAAGTCCACCTTCCGTCTTAGTTTACAAGAAAAACAAAGTCTGCATCCAAATTTTGAATAAATTACACTTTGTAGACACCGTAACTGACAAAGCAGCAACATCATCACACACACACACACACACACACACACACACACACACACACATACACATACACACAGTGATTAAGGGTGTGAAATGATCTCACAGAAGACTGGAGTTCAGTTCCCAGCACTCACACCCTGTGACTGACAACCACTTGTAACTCCAGGCATTGCACTCACATACACAAATCTACACACAGACACTTGCATATAAACATATTTTAATTAAAAATGAAATCTTAAACACACATCCTTGAGCATGACTTCCTGGAGATGCTCACGTTCACAACATCAGGTTTGCTTTATTCTTTCCGGAGCTCCTTTCTGTCTCTCATAAATTTCACTCAGACTGCCATTGGCTCTCCCTCCCTGAAAGTCTCCTTCATTGTCAATAGGTTGCCACACTTCCCAATTATGCCTCATTGGAGACCTCTAGAAGAGACTCCCTGGTCAGCTGATCTGAGCATGTCCCCATAGTACCCATTACTGAGCATCTACCGGAGTATCTTGTTGGAAATGCAGATTCTAGGCCTTACCTTTCAAAAGTGTATGCTGCTTTGTACATTCCAATTCAGTATAAGTCAGTTCTTTTCTGATTTCTTTTTCTTCAAGAAGTTGAGAATATTTTTTAAACAAAACTATGAAACAAAATAAAAGCATTCATTTTTCTGGTAGGGCTAAGACTCAACTCTTTACTTTTACTTTCTTACATTCTTTGTAGAAATCAAGTCCATAAATGTCCAATTACCTGAGTAGTTAGAGACTACCTGGGAAAGATTACCATCACCATAGTATCTAGCAGTTGGGAGTTAGAATGAGGAAGATCAGAAGTTTCAGATCATCCCTAACTATACAAGTTAGTGCAGTTGGTTGGTTGGTTGGTTGGTTGGTTGGTTGGTTGGTTGGTTGTGGGAGAAATGAGCTAATTCCAGGTTACCTGAGCACAAAGTCATAAGAGAGCCCGGCACTGATCAAAAGGACTTTGTTTCTGCCCTCTTCTTCCCTGTCCTCCCTCCACCAGCCAGCTCTGACTTCTCAGTGTCCCCACACATTCACGGTGCTCCTCACTTAAGACTAGCTCACCTTTCCTCTAGAAACACAATTTTCTTTTTTCCCTTCCTCATCTCCCCTTGTTCCTTGAGTCACTAGGTTCTGGCTCTCACTTCTGTAATTTACCAAACTGTTCTTGAAATAGATATCAATGCCCCTCGTGTACTCTTAACAGTCATCTTCCTATGGGACTTCTCACATGATCCTAGCCTGCTTCTCTTCCTCCGCGACTGTTGGGAGACAGTGGCTCCTCCAGCTTTGCCTGGTCCTGCTTGATGCTGTTTCCTGTGTTCTTTCCTTCTGTTTCCTTCTACACCCGCCTCTCTTACAATGGAATATTGTTCCCAGTTCCACCTACACCTCTCTTTCTCCAAACTCCTCTTGCTTAGTGGTATTGCTTTTTCCTGGGTTGGTGGGGGTGGGGACTAGGCATTGTTGTTTTGTTTTATTAGTGGGCTTTTTTTGTTATCTGTTGCCTATAAGCAAAGGTCTTCTAAAATGTACACCTCTTTCCTAAAACATGTTAATATGCATCAGACTAAGTCTGTGCATCTGAAATTCAGATGAACGTAAACAAAACTTAGATCACCATAGTCCACCCAAACCTCTTATCTTCTTCCTCTTCAGATAACTTCATAACATCTGATTTCATGAAATCAGAACATTAAACCATACCTCACTCTTGTGTGTCCCCCAATCCTCAGCTATCAATACTGATCAAAACTTCACCTCCTTTCGGTCCAGTTTCTCTCCCCTCCTGCGATCATCAGCATGATCCTTGGATCACACACTGAGTACTGCTCAAAGGGATTCTGAATTAGCTTCCTAATTTCCACCTGTCTTCCTTCCCAAACCTCTGTGAGAGCACGCTTCTCTGAGTCAGTTTTAATTTAACATGCCCTGCTTCTGATTCTTCAGTGGATCTCCATGATTATGGCACACTGCAAAACTGGACACACCTTCCTGATGTGAATATCCACTTAGGCTATGCCTTTGCAGTTCCCTACTCAAGAAACTGTGTCTATTTCCACGTAACCTCATCTGAGCTGCCTTTAAGACTTTCTTTGGCTACTAAAGTACACAAAGGCAAATGTATGTTGCTCCATGTTGAATTTGGCTTACTGCCACCATCTGGCCTGGAAGTTTGCAGTGGCATGTGAAGCTGGGTTGTCTGTTACTGATTCATGGATCCATGAGAAGGAGTAAGTTTACCTAGGACCAAAGGGATCTTCCAAGACAGACCAGTCTCAGGAAATCCACCAAGCAAGAATTAAATAAAAAGCTCAATTAACCTACTAAGTCTACTAAATAAAATAACATTTAGAGGAGATACCCGAGTAATATGGTATGTACTACTGTAGGACCTGAGTTTAGTTTTGTATGACCTCTACAGTTTCATGTAGCAATATACAGTGCAGTAATGCATCCCTATATTAGCTCATGTTTTCCACACTCCCTCATGTCTATGACACTGAGGGCACACACGGGTCTAGATGTCATCTGCTCCAAGCTTTTCTTAGCCCCCTGTGTTAACTTCTTACTTCCCACCTGCATAGCATTTTCCATGCAATTTTTTAAGCACTGGTTCACTTAACTATTCTCTGACATGCTGCCTAATATATAGGAAATGGATATTATTCATTATTGAATGAATGAATATAACACCTACATAAAATATAGTTTATGCTTTTTAATTGTTCATAAATTGAAAGCCAATCTACATAGAAACCCACTATTTTATGAACTAGCTTTCATACAATCTGGAACAAAAGCAAATGGTTAGAAGGAAATCTACTAGAGCACTGTCCCTGGAATAGCTCTGGCCATGTTTTCTCATCGCCCTGCTCGCTCCAAATACAAATATCTACGTATCCAATGGGGCTGGCTTCTAGACACTGCTGAGGAAACACAGACCCGTCCTCAGTACTGTAGTCTAACACACATGCCCAGGGTTTCACTCTGTGACACCAACAAACACACTTGCTTCCCCAGTGAGAATGAATGACTTTACAGAAGAATTGTTCTGAGTCAGAACAAAATTCCCAATGTCATCTACCTCCCCAGAGAAAGCATCTGTCTCAGGTTTCTGGGTAGCCATCTAATGGGTCCCTTTCCTTCTCTTTGTTTACTTGTCCCTCTGCATACTTACTGATCAGAGCAGTGGAGATTAAGATTGTCAACAGCAGGAAGTATATTGTGAGTGAAGTGAGGAGGACTCTGGAGAATCTATGACAACTTTCGTGAGACTTGGTCTTCTTTTGAGGAGCTGAAAGACAAAGCAAATTCATGTCTTGAGTTCTGTTGCCTTTTCCTCTTCTTTCTCATATTCCTCTCTTTTTGTGCATGATAAACACTAATAACATGATGTTTGAAATAATAAGAAAATGCAAATAGGAAAAATCATGTTAATTATAGAAACATTACAGTATGTGTAAAATCACTCATTCCTGACACTGAGAATGACTGTTGTCAGTATTTTGGTATGTATCTTTCCAACGAGTGTAAAGTTTTTACATATAAATGTTTATTTTCCTCAACTGGAACATCATAGATAATGGTTCCTAACTATAATTTTCTTTGACATTATGTCATGATTTTTTTCCTTTATGATTTTTTGTTTTATTTTTTGAGACAGGGTCATGGTATGTACCCTGGCAGACGTTGAATTCATTATGTAGTACATTATGCCTCAAACTCACATCACCCCCCATCTCAGCCTCCTGAGTTTTGTGATTACAGGCATGTGCCTGAACATATGGATGAATGTTTTTCTATATCATCATGTCTTTTTATCAGTTTTATAATGGTTGCATAGTACTTCATTATATACTTTTAAAGTCTTCCAGCTTACTTTCAACTTCAAAGTATTCAGTAGTCAAGAAGTTACATTTTATGATGAAGTCACGACATTTTTAGTCACCAATTCTAAAAGAGTTACAATACTCCCAACCATGTATAAGGTCCTAGGTTCTGTCCTCATCACTGGAGGGAGATGAGTGAAAAAAAAAAGTTATTCAACACTTGAATGCCAAACAGACTACTATATGTTACCAAATAGAGAAGGGAAAATCAGTAATCATAGTTTAACTTCTGAAGCAATTTGTTACATATATTTATGTGTATTTATATGTAGAAAAGATACAATAACATGGGTGGTGTGATTTTCTCTAGATGGCAAAAGTGAAGACAACACCTTCTCTTTTCCAATGTCTAGTCCCACAACCTTTCACATCTGTCTAGAGGCAGCACACTTGGTTGAGACTCCAGTGACCCAGAGACACAGCCAGAAAGCAAGATCATCTGTCTTTGTTTATTCATCACTAACCAGGAGCATCAGAAAATGCTTTCTTACCTGGAGGAGAGTCTGCTTTGATGTCTGAAGAATCAAGTTTATTTTTGAAGTTCGTGTTAATATAAATGTTTTCTGAGAACATGCTGAGAAGAAATCTTCCCCTGCCCTCAAAAGATGTGTACCATCCCTTTTTAAAAATAAGTCCTGAACAAAAAACAAATGTGGGAGCAAATTATCGCGATACCAGCTAGGGATGAGAGACAGCTGCCCTGAGCATGCAGCATGAGGTCCAGTCCCCTGATTTACAAAGAGAAAACCACAGGCAGAGAATACACGCAGGACAGTTATACAATCATAGTGATACCAAGAACTCAGAGGGGGAGAGAAGAAAAACAGGAAGGAATGGGAAAGAGGAAGCAGGCCATTGGAGAAGTCAAACTCCTCACACAGTTGAGATTCTGAACTTTGTCTGAGACAACCTCCACTATAAAGCCTCCTTGTGCTATGATTCCTAGTCCTGAGCCCTGAAGAGCTGCCACTTGGCCTCCCTGAAGCATTAACTTGGAAGAGACAAGGACATAAGCAGAAAAATGTGGCATAAACGGCAAAAGAAACAATTAGCAGGGTGAAGAGACAACTTACAGGATAGGGGCAAAAATCTTTTCTAACAGGACTCATGAACAAACTGATCAGAGAGTTCTCAAATGAAGAAATTCAGATGGCCAATGATACTTTAAAATGTATTTGAAGTATTTTGCCATAAAGGAAATAAAAAATTAAACATTTTTGAGATCCCAACCTGTACCAATCAAAATGAAGGGGAGACATGAGAATCCCTGGAAGAATCTTGGGTATATACCCAAAGGCTGCTCAATCACACCACAAGGAGGCTTGCCCAACGATGTTCATAGCAGCATTATTTGTAATAGCCAGACCCTGGAACAACCTAGAGACAGGGTTTCTCCCATGATAGAATTTGGTATGACTTGTGCTTGTGTAATGGCCACTATGAGTCCATATATTCAGATGCCCTGCTGTATCCAAAATACAGTTTCCTTGTAGTCACCCATCACATTTGGCTCTGAAAATTTCTGTGCCCTCTTCCACAATGTTCCTTGAAATTTGTGGGAAAGAGGATTGTGGTATATATGTCCCACCTAGAGGTAAGCATTCTATTTAATCTCTGTACCTTGGCCAGGTGTGGGTCTCTGTGTTACTCATCATCTACAGCAAATTGAAGCTTCTCAGGAGAGGGTCGAGAGATACATTGATCTGTTGGGCCCCAGCCCCATGGGGTCTCTGTGAGTTGCTGGTCAGCCTACAAGTGCAACTTGTTTTCCAGTCCAAGTGCTTTCTGTTTCCTAGTCCTGGCTTACTGCCCTGGCCTTGACCCTCTGACATCAACATCCAGCAGGAGGAAAACAACGATCTCTTCTACCTGGGGTTTTTTCCACTGTGCTGTAAACTTGTATAAAAAGCTCCTCCCTCCTACAAGGGAGAGACCTGTTAGCACTTGCAATGAAGACACACACACACTCTCTCCTGGCAATAAAGGCTACACATACATTCTCTTAGTACAAACAGCTGAATGTCTAGTCTCTCTTTTCCTGATACCTTGGAGTTGCTTGTGGCGCTGAAGCACAATTGGAGGTTCCACTGAGATCCAGAGACACTTGGAAAGACTGTTAAAGATCGGCCAGAAAGAAGACTCAGGGGAGGAGAGACTTGAGAAAGAAAAGAATTAAACAGGTACCTCAACTTCTAACAGTAAAATTGAATGGTCAAATCTCCAGGGTTTATTTGAGAGCTCAGTTGGGGGGTGGATTGGATTAAATCTCCAGGCCTTCGCCTGACACCAAGGTCAGGAAAGAAAGGGGAACCTGAGAGATCACCCTAGGTTGAAGGGTGGATTAGATTAAATCTCCAGGCCTTCGCCTGACACCAAGGTCAGGAAAGAAAGGGGACCCTGAGAGATCGCCCTAGGTTGAAGGGTGGATTGGATTAAATCTCCAGGCCTTCGCCTGACAAAGGTCAGGAAAGAAAGGGGAACCTGAGAGATCACCCTCGGTTGGAGGGTGGATTGGATTAAATCTCCAGGCCTTCGCCTGACACCAAGGTCAGGAAAGAAAGGGGAACCTGAGAGATCACCCTCAGTTGGAGGATGGATTAAAAGTGAGTGAATTGAAAATTGGTAACGGTTAATAAAGGAGGTACTGGTATTAAGTAAAAGAAAAGGAAAAGATAAAAGTATATAAAATGGAAAATACACAGAGAGTCTGGATACTGTGTACAGTTGTGGTGTCTTTAAATTGTTTAATTGCTGAGAAAGAAACAAAAACTGCTGAAAGACATTTGATTATTAATGTTACTAAATTATTCCAACTTGCATGTTTTGAAAATGCTTTGACTTCTAAATTTAAATATAAGGACAGGTTACTTGGGAAAAGAATTTCTGCTTTTGTTTCCACAGAACATAAAAAGCTGTGGGTTCCTTCCAGACTAGTATGGTTTGATAAAGCAAGACCACCTGAAGCAGTGGCCCAGGTGATCCAACACCTAAAACAGCTGAGATGATGCAGCCTTACAGACCACAAAAACAAGAACTTCAACAGGTTTCTGGGTTTTGATTTTTTTTTTGTCATGATCCCCATGGTATTTCAGCGCCCCTTAACAGCAGGAAGTAGCTTGGAAAGAACGACACCCACATTCCTAAATATTGTTTATAAATGTTTGTTTTTGTATACTAAGATTGACATTAACATCCTAGTCACCTGAGATAGGTGCTAATTTATATATAAAGAAGGGGGGAGATGTTGGGCCCCAGCCCCATGGGGTCTCTGTGAGTTGCTGGTCAGCCTACAAGTGCAACTTGTTTTCCAGTCCAAGTGCTTTCTGTTTTCTAGTCCTGGCTTACTGCCCTGGCCTTGACCCTCTGACGTCAACATTCAGCAGGAGGAAAACAACGATCTCTTCTACCTGGGGTTTTTCCACTGTGCTGTAAACCTGTATATAAAGCTCCTCCCTCTTACAAGAGAGAGACCTCTTAGCACTTGCAATGAAGACACACACACACTCTCTCTCCTGGCAATAAAGGCAGCACATGCATTCTCTTAGTACAAACAAGTGGACGTCTGGTCTCTCTTTTCCTGATACCTTGGAGTTGCTTGTGGTGCAGGTGCAGCATTGATCTATGGGTTTAATGATAAGTTTTAAGAGTCAGTATTCTATGTCCCTTTGGCTAAATGATACTAATAGATTCTCTCCTGTGGCTTGTGATCTGTCTAGCCATAGGTTCTTAGCCCAATAATGGTGTCAGGTATGTGTTTCATCTTATGGAGCAAAACTTAAATCTAATGAGAAAGTTACCAGTTGCTGCCATGATGTTGCAGCCACTACTGCACTAGCAAGAATGTCTTGCCAGGTCAATAATAAACTGTAGCTCTCAGGGTTCATAGTCAGGGATTATGTGGGAAATGAGCTCAGGGTGTATCATATAGGTATATTAACATGTCCTATGTAATTGTACCATGTGCAATGAATAATACAATGAGACTTTTTAAAATAATAAAGTAAATTAAAACTAAAAAGAGCATTCTAAAGAGTAATCAAGAATGATGACAATAGTCTATACTGTTTGGGACATACAACTCCAAAACAAGTAATAAATTCCTGGCACTGGGGTTTTATTTGCTAGCCTCTATCTAGTATGGACACTGTTGCCATATTATAGGGTAACTCCATTTTAACTATTTTGTGGGGGGGGTATATTTTAGAAATTCTATATGGTAATATGCTTCCATATGACTTTTTCAAAAGGTCTTTAGTATTATTTATCCATCTATAGTACTTCACTTACCCTATCCTCCTCTCCCTGACCCCAATATAATACTTCCTGTTTTATTATTCCCTTTTAACCCTTTATACCACTGCTTTCTACTGCTCCTCCTTTGAAAGTACCCCCTCCTGGCCTCTATTGGTATCACAAATAAAACACATATCTGAAGATTCAAAGCTAACATCCACAACAGAGGAAAAATGCACAACATTTGTCTTTCTGAGTCTGGATTACCTCATTCAGAATGACTGTTTCCAGCTCCATTCATTCACCTGCAAGTTTCATAATTTCATCTCTCTTAAGAGTTGAGTAATATTCCATTGTGTAAATACATATTTTCTTTATTCATTTGTCAGTTAATGGACTTCTAGGCTTATTCCCTCTCCTGGCTATCGTGAGCAGGGCATCAATGAACATGGAGGAGCAGGTGCCTCTAGATTAGGATATGAAGGAGTCCTTTGGGTAAATGCCCAAGAGTGGTATAGCTTGATCATGTGGTAGACATTATTTTTAGCTTTCTGAGGAACCCCACAATGATATTTACAGTCATTACTCCAGTTTGCACTCCTACTGGCAATGAATTGGTGTTTTCCTTTTCCCACATCAAACCCAGTATGTGTTGCTGCTTGGTTTCATTGTTTGTTTTCTTTTGCATTAGACATGCTAACTGGAATGAGATAAAAATCTCAAAGAATTTTCAAATTGCTTGGCTAAGTATGTTTCAAAAGTTGTTTTCTTTCTTTTTTATTGAATTGTCCATTTCCTTTCTTTTGGGGGATACTTTCCTTTTTCTAAGGTTCGTTGTGTATTCTAGATATTAACTCTGTCAGATGTATAGCTGGTAGAGAATTTTTTTCTTGTGCCATGGGCCTGTTTCATGAGATCCCATTTATTAATTGATGTTCTTAATGCCTGTACTATTGGAGTTCCATTCAGAAAGTCTTTTCCTGTGACACTGAAGTCAAGCATGTCCCCATTTTCCGCTCTATCAGACTCAGGATCCCAAGTCTTACATTAAGGTCCTTGATCCATTTGGGGCCGAGTTTTGTACAAGATCAGTAATAAGGATCTGGTTTCATTCTTCTGCATATAGCAGTTTGACAAGTACAGTGTGTTAAAGAGGATGTCTTTTCTTGAACCTGTATTCCTGGACTTTTTGTCAAAACCAAGATGGCTTTTTTTAGTTTGTTTTTATGCCAGTGCTATATTGTCTTTATCATTATAGCCCTGTAGTAAAATGAAGTCTTGGATGGTTATATCCCATGCAGGTTTTTGTTTTGTTTTGTTTTTGTCATTGTTGTTCAAGATTGTCTTGACTATCCTAGATCTTCTGTATTTCTAGAAGAAAGTTAATATAACACAAGTTCTAATAGTCTTAATAATAAGCCTGGAGTCATATACTAGGTGGGTGAAAGCTGAAAGGTCAGAGAAGCAAAGCAGCCAGCCACCAGAGCTCTTACCTCCACGAAATCCTCAGA